GGGCCGAGGAGGGGCTCTCCGGGCGGCCGCGGCAGCTGGAAGGCCCTGGGAGAATCTGAAATTGGGAAGATAAAGCCGTTTAGAGTTGAGTGATTTGGAGGAGGTCAGACCAGGAGTGGGAAACATGTCAAAATCGGCATCTGTGTAGTTGTTATTGGCCTGGAGTTGAAGTACAAAGAGCCGAACTTGAAATAATTTATAGTGTAATTGGGGCAGGTGCTGCTGGCAGCGTGCAGGAAAATATTCAAACTGCGTTATGCTCTTCGGCAGGGAAGAGGTAGAGCATTTTAAAAATACAAAACAAAGCGAGGAGATGGAAGAGCTGCAGGTTGCCAAAGGAAAATTTAGGCTGTAGATGTCATCCCAAACGGATACACGGTTTTGGAGCTCAATGGGCAGACAGCCTTTGTAGCTCGAGCTTTGCATAGTCTTGACAGCATAAAACGTGAAGAAATAAGAAGGCGTTACCTGCATGAAGAAATCTGTTTGGGGCAGAGTTGGCTCGGGACTGGGCAGGGAAATGTCAGTCCAAATGTCTAACAGGTAACTTACCAGGAATGCTGTCATTTTAGCAAATCACAGCTTTATTTTTAAATAGAGAGTGGAAAGCAAATGTTACTGTTGACATTAGCGATGTAAACTTCTGACTCTGGTAGAAGACAGATTTGTCACCAGGCAGGTACTGAAATAACAGAAGAGGATAGTGTTTTAGTACTTTGGTTGCAGTGAGTTTCAAAAACTTTAAAAAAAATGTTGCTTACAGAAGATAACTTTAGCACAGTTGCTTGTATGTTTATTCAGTCTAAATTAAATGGAAGATAAAATAAAAACGTGGAAAGTAGGAGGCAGCTCTTAAATATCAGAGCAGCCAAACTGCAGTTAGGGATAACACGGACAGAACGTTCATGGATCTTACTCATCTGGTAAAGTGATGGTGGGATGTCTTGCCTGTGAGAGCAGAGGACTGGGTGAAAGCCCCTTTGGATCCAACATTTCTAACTAAGACAGTTTCAGTTGTGAGTTTCTGTTCATGTGTCTGTGATTAAACTTTCAAGCTTCTAAAAATTGAGATGAAGAGAAGAGAGTAAAGCTAATAAATGAACTCTTTTTAGCTGGACTTTTTTTTCTTTCAAAATAAACAACCAAACAAAAAAACCCCACAAGAGTTCGTATGTACGCTTTCAGGAACTAGATAATCCTTTGGATTTTTTTCTTGTTTTGTTTAGTTCTTACAATAGTTTTTTTTCCTGGGTTTTTTTAAAAATGTTTTTTCTCCTTGCTTCTACTTTGTGAAAGATTCTCTCCACCCACACAAGGCTAGCTGATTGCTTTGTGATTTTTATTCTCCAGTGTATATAAACAAACTGAAAGTATTATTACCATTGCAATAAGGAAAAGTATAGTTAATATAACATAATTGGATTAAAAGTGATTTAGCTATTGATCTCTGCTGTGAATCCTCAGACAAAATTCTACCTCAGCAGCAGGTAGAATAGTTTATCCTAAGTGCCTCCTTAAAGTGCATTCCTATCCCACTGCTGTTTGATGTGCATCTGGAAGAGAATGTGTTTCACACGGATATGGACACTTCATAAATAGACATATGACACTCCGAATATCCCGTTGTGTGCACAATAAAAACATACCTAAGGATATCTTGTCAGTTTATTAACTCCGAGGAGTAAATGCATAAGCCAATAAATAAATATTAGTTATTTCTGAGACCTGCCTGTGATGGGTAGCTATAAATAGGAAATGCCAGTTCTGCAGTATCTCAAATGGCGGCACCAGTGCTAATAGGGCTTAGTAAAGAGCTTGTTGCTAAGTTATTTTTTGGGGGGGATTGGGGGGGTGGTTGTTGTTTGTTTTTTTGTGTGTGTTGGTTTTTTTTTTTAATCTTACAAGGCTTGTGAAAGATCTTATAGGAAGTTTTGTGTCACCTGAATTATTCTCTTGATTTTGTTACTGCAGGTCCTTTCTGGTTGTGGTGTCTACGATGGCACAGAAATCCATGAGGCCTCAGCGTAAGTCAGCTTATGAAACTGTAGGCTCTAAAAAAAAAAAAAAATCTCCTTTACATTCCAACAGTCTGTTGAATTCAGTTTTGCTCTCTCTGGCCATCAAAATTGCCCTGAAAGATGTATGATGAAGCTTCACAGTTTTCTCACAGTGTAATTGGAAGCTCAGGCTGCGTTCTTGCAGCACTCAGGGATTGTCCAAAGATGCAGCACAATGCATGTGATGCCAGAGCAGTGAGTTTGAGAGAGACTGTCTTTCCTTCTGAAACAGAAATTCAGAGTTCCAGAATCAGTCTCGAGAGAGTTAAGTAAAGATTTCATTTCATAGTCACTTTGAGTTTCTGTTCCTGGGGCTAAATCTAACAATAGAATTGTTAATACTCGAGTTTGAATTGTTATTAACTCTTAGTGTTAATTGCCAAGAGATGTTTCACCTAGGCTTAGATTAAATGTACATGTATGTATGTTAATCGTGGGACTCTTCCATAACACCTGGGGACTTGCAGTGAGAAAGGAAGTTTTTACCATTCCTGGTTGTCTGCATAAGAGCACTGAACAAAGACACTTGTCTCTAGCTTGCCTGACCCTGCCTCCAAACTGTCGTTCTGTTCTGCTTTGCACTTTGATGTTACAGGGATTTTGCTGCTATGTGCTTGTTATGCTTTGATAGGATGCGTGTTTTTCCTCTTCTTTCAAAATCAGGTGGTGGAATATTTGTAGCAAGACTTAGGGGCCAGATAAAGGCTCTCTTATAAGGTTTTCAGCACATTTTATCTCTGTTTTTGTAGCATACTGGTACACCTCAGTCGTGGGGGAGCCGAGGTTCAGATGTATGCTCCAGATGTTCCTCAGATGCATGTCATTGACCACAGTAAAGGGCAACCAGCTGAAGCTGAGTCAAGGTAAAGTCTGTGTTCAATGTGTTATCCATGACTGCTGAGCCTCAGTCTCTTAGGCATTCTTCAGACATTGCAGCACTTTGCCGACTGGCTTTAGTAGCTTTATGCTAGCTGGTGTTTTGGTTGGAGAGAAAATATTAAAGAGTTTTCTGGACTTGGTTATATACGGGCTTTTAATGCCTATGTTTCCCAGCAGTAGTATTTCAGAAGCATTGATAGCTTCACTTATTGAGTACCACTGTTGTTCTTGCTTCCTCCCTTCCTCTTCCTCCTCTTCCTCTGCCAGAACTTTAGTTACGCTCTTCTGTGCGCAAATGCTTAATTCGTCTCATTGTTTTTTTTCTGGTTCTTCAAGGAACGTTTTAGTGGAATCTGCAAGGATTGCTCGTGGTAAAATCGCAAGCCTGGCTAAGCTTACTACAGCAGACCATGATGCCGTGATATTCCCTGGTGGATTTGGAGCTGCTAAAAACTTGTGAGTGCCAACTAAGCATTAGACTGCTCAACTAAATATTCATAATGAACTATTCATAACCAACTACAATTCACATGATAAAACCAGGAAGCAATAAATGGCCAGTCGTAGTTCTTATTAGCATTGCATTGTTTTGCATTTTCGGAACAATGTTGGTGAGAATTCTGGAGTTTAGATAGTGCACAAAAAGTCCTTTTTCACCCCACCTTTGTGATGATTCTTTTTGGGGCTGACTGAGGGAAGTGAAGGCAAAACTTCAATAATTGGTTTCAGGTGTTCCTAGTGTTATTATTCTGTTCCTTCGTGTCTGCCTACTAAAAAGTCCCCTCTTGCATTAGTAATGATAAAACAACAGCTAGCTAAAAAAAAAAAGGACAAAAAAAATCCAAACATTAGCCATGTGGAGTACTTATTATCATGTTATTGACCTGCCATTTTGTTGGCTTTGAGAAGTCTGTATGCTTTTTCTCTTTTCTTCTCAATCTATTTTTCTTCTTTGGAAACATTGTGGTTCCACTTCTCTGTAATCCTAGAAAGCTGGTTTGATAATTGTTATTTCTAGATATTTATATCAAGTAAGGAACTCTCCGACATACCAAAGCCTTAGAAATGAGTCATTTTAGCTAATTAAGCATTGATGGTCAACTACAGGCTTTTTCTAGCACCTTTTAGAAGCTCTTAAGTTTGTGATGGACCCTTGAGAGCCCGTCTCAGGGCAGATAGGCATCTCGATTTGTAGGCTTATACTGAGGTATGTATAACATTTCTTCTTGTGGCAGATCTACCTTTGCTGTTGATGGGAAAGATTGCAAGGTGAACAGGGAAGTTGAACGTGTCTTGAAAGACTTCCACAAAGCAGGCAAACCTATTGGGTATGTATGTTACTTGGAGGGGCATTTCTTTGATAGTGTGAGCATGGAGAAAACGTGCATTTTGTTGAAATGTGCAGCTGTTATTGTTGGAACTAGAAAAAGCATCTTCTGTTTCGTATCAGTTGTAGCTTATTTTTTTAAAGTGTGTTTTCAAGGGGATGTGTGTAGGTGTTTGTCAAAGAAGCTAAGAAAATGCTGAGTGGAAGTTGCCTTGTGATGTCTCTCAGATTTGTAACACCACGTCCGTTCGAATCTTTTCAGTTATGACCAAGTTTTGAAAGAGTGCTGTTGTAGAATTGCTCTTACAATTCCTTCTGTTGCAGTCTTTGCTGCATTTCACCAGTGTTGGCAGCAAAGGTTCTCTCTGATGCTGAAGTAACTGTGGGCCATGAAGAAGAGGAAGGTGGCAAGTGGCCATATGCTGGGACTGCAGGAGCCATTAAAGAACTGGGAGGGAAGCATTGTGTGAAAGAAGTAACTATATCCTTTCCTGATAATTTCCGTGTTGAGAGACAGTTGAGTAATTTGTTGTTACAGTAATAAGTATACACAGGATTTATGCTTGTCCACATACGGTTTAGTGGGAATATGTATTGTATAGCACAGAGCATGTAGTACGGTGCATGATTCGAAACACTGTCTTCTGTACACAGCTGTTCACCCAAGTCATTCTTAGTCATTGCCATAGAACTCCCTTGGACACCCAATAATGCAGTAAACACTGAGTGAATTTGCCCATGAAACGGGCATGAGTTACAATTGATCAGTTCTCTTTGAGTTTTTTTTTTCCTTTTCCTGAAGACTAATGCGGTAATCAAACTGTACTCAGAGACGTTTTATTGCGGTCAGTAAATTCGTAGGGTTTTTTGTGTTTCTGAGTGTTCCCACGGATTGTTCTTGCAGTGTTTGTATTTCTGGCAAAAACAGCTTCTAGAGTCTTGCATTGTAGGTTGCAGCTGTCTTTACAGCTGAACGTTAGAATGTATTTGTAGGTGCTCTTTTATGGGGTAGTGGAGTTGTAAGATTTTGTCAATGGTGGTTTATTTTGCAGACGGCATCTGCAAGTGAGACACAGGCTGTGTTTTCCTTAACTCTCGTTTACGAAGCTCACGTGGATACAAAAAACAAGGTGGTGACTACCCCAGCATTTATGTGTGAAACAGAATTACATAATATTTTCGATGGCATTGGGGCCATGGTAAAGAATGTGCTAAAATTAACTGGCAAATAAAAAAAATAATCAGAAATGTTTAAGTTTAGGGTGTAGTATCAAATGTAATATGGACCAATGGAAACATTTTCACCTGCTTGTCCTGTTCACTCTCTAGTGAATGCTGATACGAAGCTGATTGATTCCCAGCTGCAGGGTTTTCCGTGCCCTTTCTGAGAGGGGCCTGCAGAAGGGCTTACAGAGTACAAGCAGTCTGGCCTGAGACACAGAGCATTTTCTTGAGCGTTTTCAGCCGGAGCGCACTGTGCGGACGTATGCTGAAACCAGTCCCAGTGCCAAATCACTTCTCTGGGGGCAAAAAGAGACTACAGGCCCTTTCAGAAGCTGAGGGCAGATGTGTTGTAGGGATATAGCAGATGCAGAGGCGGTATATTAAGTGGATGAAGAATGGGAGTAGAGAGGAATTAGTGCGTGGCTCAAGGCTTATGTGCTCAGGCCTGTATCTGTGAACTAAAAGCCAGGATCAGCTGTCGAGGGAGCAGACATCTTCCACATCTTAATTTTAGCTTGGTATTAATTGAAAGAGTAATGTTTTGTTTTTCTATTTCAAAGAACCCTGTTTTCACAAAGGAGCCATTCTGAATATCAGTCAGCAGCAGGATACATCTTAACTGTTGCAACACTAGCACTTTGAAAAATTCATCCATTGGCCCATTATTGGCTAAAAAGGTCTTGAAATGAAGGAGAAAACATCCGCTGATATGACGCACAATTTTTAAAGATAACGCCCGTGTTAAAGTAGTTGCATGACTAGCAGTAGATGGAAAAAACAATCTCAAATTATCCTGACTTTCCCTGCTTTAGGGTAATAAAGCTGTCTCCAAAGAAATATTATTGAATGTCTGGAATAATGATGTATAAATAAATCACTTTCTGCCTTTATCTCATCCTTGTGACTTCACTTTTGTTTGACAGCTGCCTCAGATAACTTATACTGGTTGATATATTCTAGCAGTTTTTTTGTTTTTTGATTCTCTTCACGTCTGAGACATTTTTTTCCATATAGAATCCAGCAGTCGTCTTCTCCCCCTTACAAGTTATTTGTCAGCTTTACAGCAGGAAGCAATATTTCTCAAATTAAAACAAAAGGACACCCCTTACCTTGTATTCAAGTTCCTTTTACATGACAGACATGCTGAAGGTAACCTGTATTTTTAAGGGTGAATTGTGTTGTTTCGTAAGTGAAATCTACAAGCCTTAGATTGGGTTGGAGTATGGTAAATACTGTCTGTGGCTGAAGACTTGCTAGGGATGTGTAATTAAATTGTTTTTGTTGGGAGGGAATGAAAAGGAGGAATGAAGCTTGAATTTGATTGGTGAGCACACTGAGTGTTCACAGAATAAGTGTTTTTGTTTCTGGACCCTCTTAGTATGTAATTATTTTTTTATTTTTTTTTTTTTTTAGTCATTAAAAATCATGTTAGGATTTAGAAGATCTGAATTTTTACTTCAAAGACAGCACAGTTTTCTTGGAGAATTTCATTGAGATCTCTTGTGCACATAACAAACTCCGGTGTGAGTACAGGGAAATCATACACACAAACCAAGTAATCATGGTAGCAGACATGGTTCGTAAAGTGGATTTTGGACATACTGTAAAACTTTTTTACTTGTGCATCAGATTCTTTAGGAAATTTTCAGTATCAAGTTGGTAAGAAAGAATTTAAAATACTGCCACTATGTCATTCTGTGCAAATAAAGCCTTTCCGCCATAAGCTGTGCCTGTATGTAAGTGGATGTTTTTAGTACCAGTTGTATACACAGAGGTTTAGCAGAGTATGGGAGGTCATTATTCATATAAAACGTAGTGACATTTCAAAATGTGTGTCTTTCCTACATCTGCAGGAGTTTTAAAAGAAATTTGGTAACACAAAGTATCACAAAACAGAGGTGGTATTGAAATCCTTGGAGCAGAGGGAGAAGAACAGCTGCTGCCTGGGTTAATGGTACCTACCTGTGCTGAAAGAGTGATCTAAATTGATCTCAACTCTTCCTGTCAGGGACCGTGAGTTAAATCTTTCTATTAGCTCCCCTTGCCACAGCAGGTTGTGTGTATATATATATATTGAGGGTTTCTCATGTCTGCAGTTCCTAGTTAAGTGCAGCTGTGGTGGCACACAGCCTTCTTAGATTCAGGTGTCCAGAGAAAAAGATGATTTTTTCGAAGAAATTGTTATTATCATGCGGTCACCAGCTGTTGCAAGTTGGTTGACAGGTCGTCCAGACGTTGCCTCTTTTTACAGGTACCCATAGACCGTTGTCAGCGCTGGAAGCTCGGGTGTTTAGTGAAGGTGGGACAAACAGATGAACACTAAGGAAATCAAAGATGAGATTTTATTTCCAGAAATCATGTTTTAAAGCATCTTTTTACCCTTCTTTTTTTCCATCATTCTGAGAACATTTTTTTAAGGGAGGGAGAATCATGCACCAGAATTGCCTTTCATTTTTCTTATTCTCTCTAATTTCTCAGTAGCGTGCTGAGTACAAACCTTTGCTACGCACATTTTGTAATATTTTTTCTATTAAGATCTTTTTAACTTCGGTGGAAGATGTAAGATTGTCATCTTGGCTTTCAGCCAGTGTAAATTCTGAGGGAAATTCCACGTACATTCAGAGATTATCATAGAGATATTTGTCTGCCAAGCTGGGATTTTCCTTTCCTTCCATAGGGCTGTTTGGAGCTGCTGAGGGGCGTTGCTAATTTCAGCCAGATAGAAGTTCATGATTCCGATGTTTTGTTAAGCGCCATCAGGATTATGGAGGGAGACTGTATGTTCCTCCGGCCTCCGCGAGGGGGCAGGCCAGACCCGCCTCGCGGATCCCGTCCTGCTTCCTCTACAGAAAGAACCTCCGAGGACTTTGTCCTCCTGAAAGGCGGCGGTGACCACCAACGCCCCTCCTCGCTCGTCTCGCTTTCCCGGCGAGGAGAGGGAGAGGGTTAACCGGCGGGAGGGGGGGAGCCCCTGCCTCTCCCCGTGTTCCTGCCCGCCCCCGTTCCGTTTCGTGACGCGTTTCTCCGCGGGTTGTTGCCGCGTTTGCAGGTTTGGTCAGCGATCCTGTTTTCCTTCTAAAACCAGGAACGGCCGTAGCGACCGAGATGCGCGCCTTTTTTTTTTTTTTTTTTTTTTTTTTCGCCCGCGGGGCCC